TTAATTAATGTCGCAGATTACATGTTCCTACTTATGGAATTGCATCTTTAGAAGTGGTGTGTTTATTGGAATTTCCAAGTTAAGTCTGAACCATTTGTGTGAATAATTGAACCAACCTCTTCACTCAAGGCAACCAGGTCTCATTAGAATACAAACATATATGTTTCCTTTCAAACAGGTGCAACCATGCTACACAGATGTAAAGCTTTACTGCAGCAAAGAGTAAGCTTCTGTAGGGCTCTGAGTAATTCTGCCAAGGGGAGAACTAAGGTTAGTTATGTGTATTAAACTGTAATAATGTGCAGTCTATTAACTGTAGGGACTCAAGTACTTTGTTTGCCTTTCTTGATCTATTAAAGGAGTGGTGTGGCGAGTCTGGTTTAAACCATAGATACCCAAACCCCTTACATCGCATTAAAGCTTATAGAGCTGGCTATCAAGCTATAGTACCACAAATTTGTTTAAACCTCTAAATGCGAGCGTCCGAATCACCTGAAGGCTACAAATTGAAGCAAATTTTGTTTTTTGCTCATTTTAATTGTTCCTCAGTTTCCAGACCCAAAGCGTTGAAAAAAAAAAAGTGTCTGCAATAATTTACATATTCAATTTCAGAGAAAACATTACAGAACATTTTTGAAATAGGATTTTAAAAAATATAGAGCGACCATAGAAAAATTGCTCTCTGGAAAAAGTATTTGGAAATAAATAATTTGAAGACACATTTTTGTTTTTTGCATGTATGTCAAACTAGCAACAGTCCACATTTGAGGGCAAACGAACAAATTCCCTTTGACTTGTAGCTTTCAAAAGNATCACTAGGCCACACTGCCTCCTCTGGATTCCAACTGATGAATACATTGATTAATTAATGTCGCAGATTACATGTTCCTACTTATGGAATTGCATCTTTAGAAGTGGTGTGTTTATTGGAGTTTCCAAGTGAAGTCTCAACCATTTGTGTGAATAATTTAACCATCCTCTTCACTCAAGGCAACCAGTTCTCATTAGAATACAAACATATATGTTTCCTTTCAAACAGGTGCAACCATGCTGCACAGGTGTAAAGCTTTACTGCAGCAAAGAGTAAGCTTTTGTAGGGCTCTGAGTAATTCTGCCAATGAGAGAACTAAGGTTAGTTATGTGTATTATTAGGGACTCAAGTACTTTGTTTTCCTTTCTTGATTAATGGAGTGATGTGGTGAGTCTGGTTTAAATCATAGATGCTTAAACCCCTTATATCGCATTAAAACTTATAGAGCTGGCTTTCAAGCTATACCACAAATTTGTTTAGACCTCTAAATGCAAGTGTCCGAATCACCTGAAAGCTACAAATTGAAGCGAATTTTGTTTTTTGCTCATTTTATTTGTTCCTCAGTTTCCAGACCCAAAGCGCTAAAAAAAAGAAAAAAAAGTGTCTGCAATAATTTCCATATTCAATTTCAGAGAAAACATTACAGAACATTTTTGAAATAGGATTTTAAAAAATATAGAGTGACCATAGAAAAATTGCTCTCTGGAAAAAGTATTTGGAAATAAATACTTTGAAGACACATTTTTGTTTTTTTGTATGTCAAACTAGCAACTGTCCACATTTGAGAGCAAACGAACAAATTCCCTTTGACTTGTAGCTTTCAAAAGTGACCCAAGAGATGATTGGGACACTTGCATTTAGAGGTCGTGAAAAATTTGGCAATTCATTTTATTTCATAATTCTAATGGTATAGTGTGATAGCTTTAATTTGGTATAGGAGTTTATAGTTATCTACCGTTTGGACTGGACACGCTACATTGCTTGCAGGAGAGACACCCCTAAAGGTGCTCTAAAGGTATGTGGTAACCTTATAAGAGGTGAGTGACGATCCCGCCCTCCTCTTCAGAATTCAAGATGCCACCCATGTTATGGTTATGGATATTTTTTGGAACCATGTCCCAACAAATAAAAATGTTTTTTAATGTAATGTTTTGGGACCATCATCCTATTCTGAGTCACTATAACTCTTTTATCAGACAGTATTCAGACATACATTAAATATTCAATATTTATGTTAATCCCAGACCTTATTACTTCAGAAGCCAAATTAGATTGTTTCCATGTGTCTCATTATAGGAAACGCAAAGCGTGAATTCTATCAAGGCTCTGGTGTCTGGAAATGCTATTGAAATAGAATGGAAAGATGGCCACACATCCAAGTAAGAAGAACACTGCAGCAGCTTTAATATATCAATTTCAAATGTTCCAAACATTCAAAATGTTCAAATGTTGTTTATAGACACTGTAGTGGTCAATGCACTTAGCTGCACCTATGTTAGTTAGTTTACAGGCATGCCACTGAAAGAAACAAATTTATTAACTAAACATAATAGGCTTAAAGTCCCAACTCAGGTAGCAGACAGACCAGTTGGGTATTTACAAGTATGACTGAGGAGCTGAACTACACACTGTAGGGTCTACTGACTGAGAAACAAGTCTCCAACTTAGTGGTGAGAGCTGGACTTGAACCCACAACCTCCAAACTTTAACTCTGACATCCTATTAACCACTCAGCCAACCAAACAACTTAACCAACCTCCTGCCTATGGAAATATTTAGAGATTTTCATTGTGCTGGTTGAGTGCGTGATGAAAAACAATACTGCAGACTAACTGGACCTAATAATATTAACTTCAGCTATGTTTCATGTGGTCGTCTGTGATCAAGTGTCTGATTCAGTGAAGCCTGTACAATTTCAACTTGTTTCCATTTTAGATTCCATAATAGTTGGTTACGGTTTTGCTGCCAGTGTGAACAATGCAGGCAGGCACACAGTGGCCAGAAGGTCTTTGATGTGCTGTCCATTCCAGACCCATTAGAACTCTCAGATTTCTCAGTTTCTAGTAAGTGATCAAAAGTGTTTCAAAAGTCAGAATAATTTTGTTCAAATGAGCAATTCATGCCCAGAGGTTTCATTAT